CTAATGTTTATTTTATTTTATTTTTATTTTTTAATTTTTCTGTAGAGATAAGTCTTACTATGTTACCTGGACTGGTCTCAAACTTCTGGCCCCAAGCAATCCTCCCCACTTGTTATATATTTTTTCTTTATCAGATGTGTGTTTTGCAAATATTTTCTCCCAATCTGCAGAGAAAATATGTGGCTTGTCTTTCCATTCTCTTAAATCACTGGATCTTTCACACTATGGCCGTTTAGTGCCACTGCCCTGATGCATGCTAAAACATCAGTGTTTGTGTAACATCACATCGCTGTTTGTGTAACATCAGTGCAGATTGTGTAACATCACAACAAACACATCGCTGTTTGTGTAACATCAGTGCAAATTGTGTAACATCACAACAAACACATCGCTGTTTGTGTAACATCAGTGCAAATTTTAATACAAAGGAAAGGCAAAAGACATCTTAGTATTATTGTGAAAATGGTTTTAATTTTGTGGACATACGATAAAGGCCCATGGACCATACTTTGAGAACCACTGGCCTAAAGCAAACAAGGATAGCCTGTACTACTCTTTAGTTCAGGCCCAGTAAGACCAACTAGAATTAGAAATTTAAATTTTACAAATGTATAATGTTAATTTACTTTTCTGCAAAAAGGGGTTTGGAAGACACATAAGATATATAATGCATTGAACTTGGTGTTCTAATTCATTAGGAAGAGTCCATTTTGTTTATATATTTTTTCCTCGTGATTTTTGAGAGACTATAATTTTAATTAATTAATTTATTTTTATTTTTATTTATTTATTTATTTTTTGAGACGGAGTCTCACTCTGTCACCAGGTTGGAGTGCAGTGGCGCAATCTCAGCTGACTGCAACCTCCAACTCCCTGGTTCAAGTGATTCTCCTGCCTCAGTCTCCTGAGTAGCTGGGACTACAGGCACACACCACCACACCCAGCTAATTTTTGTATTTTTAGTAGTGAAGGGGTTTCACCAGGTTGGCCAGGATGGTCTCGGTCTCCTGACCTCGTGATCCGCCTGCCTCGGCCTCCCAAAGTGCTGGGATTACAGGCGTGAGCCACCGCGCCCAGCCTATAATTTTTATTTTTAAAGAAATACTGTGTGTGTGTGTGTGTGTGTGTGTGTGTGTAAATATATCAAGTAGAGTGTATGGGCCAATGAATGTCTCTCTCTCTCTTTTTCTGGAGTGCAGTGGCATAATCATGGCTCACTAAAGCCTCAAACTCCTGGGCTCAAGTGATACTTCCACTTCAGCCTCCTGAGTAGCTGGGACCACAGGCGTGCACCACCACACCCAGCTAACTTAAAAGTTTTTGTAGAGATAGAGTCTCTCTATGTTGCCCAGATTGGTCTTGAACTCCTGGGCTCAAGCAATCCTCCTGCCTCAACCTCCTAAAGTGCTGGGATTACAGGTGTCAGCCACCGTGCCTGGCCCTAAATGTCTCTTAATGGCAACTAATAGGTAGATGATGCCCAGTAACAGGTTTATGATATATTTGTCTATATAGACAAACATATAGTACCCCCAACTTTTTCCTTTTTCTCCTAGAAAGAAAAAGCATATTTTCTTTCCTTCCGGTAGGTGTACTTTTCCCTATTCCTTCCATTAAGTACAACCAAAACCCCTGAATATTATATATTAAACAAACAGAAGAAGACTCTGAAAGGTGGGAAAAAAGGAGGGCAGAATATCTATGGACTGCGGGATCTGAAGAACAACATTGCAGTGACTTACTTTGTTTTTATTTTTGACTCATATACACCAGACTTGGAGTTGAAAAAGGTAGCAACCTGGAAATGCCAACAGTAGTCAAAAAAGCCCAACCAAAGCCTGCTCTCTTTAGCCAAAGAACCATGGAAGGGGCAGCCTAGCAAGATGGAAAAGTTTTAAACATTGCTATGGATTGCATTGTGTCTCCCCCAAATTCATGTCGAAGCCTTAACTCCCAGTGTAATTGTATTTGGAGACGGGGCCTTTGGGAGATAATTAGGGTTAGATGAAGTAATGAGAATAAGGCCCTCATGATGGAATCAGCAGCTTTGTAAGAAGAATGGTGGGGTTGGGTGTGGTGGCTCACATCTGTAATCCCAGCGCTTTGGGAGGCCGAGGTGGGAAGATCACTTGAGGTCAGGAGTTCAAGACCAGTCTGGCCAACATGGTGAGACCTCATCTCTACCAGAAAATACAAAAATTAGCCGGGCGTGGTGGTGCACATCTGTAATCCCAGCTACTCATGAGGCTGAGGCATGAGAATCGCTTGAGCATGGGAGGTGAAGGGTACAGTGAGCCAAGATTGTGGGCACTGCACTCCAGCTTGGGAGACAGACTGAGACCCTGTCAAAAAAAAAAAAAAAGGAGTGGAGAGAGATCATTTTCTCTGCCATGTGAAGACACAGTGAGAAGCCGATCATCTGCAACCTAGAAGAGAGCCCTTGCCAGGAACTAAATTGGTTAGCACCTTGATCTGGGACGCCCTAACTTCCAGAACTGGGAAACATAAATGTCTGTTGTTGAAGCCACCAGTCTATATTTTGTTGTAGCAGCCTGAGAAGACTAGTACAATAACTGCTCTACTCCAGCCAAACAGCACAGCAAACCCTTTGGCCCCCAACCATACCAACAAAGGCTGAGCGGGGAGCCGACGATTCCACCCTTATGAGGCTATAATGAGGCACCTCACCCACCAGGGTTGTGTCAGAGAAGGTCAAGTAGAGAGTCAATAATAAGTCTGCTCTCCACCTGGCCCCCATGGTATCAGTGAAGACCATGTGGGAAGCCTACACTTACACCCCCAAAAGGCAGTAATGAAGTGCTCCTCTTCATTCCTGCTCAGTGGTATCAGAGAAGGACTAGCAGAGAGTCTAGACTTTTACCATCATCCAATGGTAATAAGGCAACCCCCATCTCAGTGTCAGTGGAGACCACCTGGGGAGCCAGGACGCCAACATCTGCCCAGCAATAATGAGAAGTGTAACTAAGATGTCAACAGAGGCTGAGTGAACCTAGTCTTCTGCCTCCATCTGGCAGTAACGGGATGGTGTCTTTCCTCCTCTGCTGGAGTAATGTCAAAAAAAGCCAGCTAAAATACAGGGTTAACATAAAATTGATAACCTTATAAAAATGTCCAAGTTTCAGCTGAAAATCACTAATCATAACAAGAGCCAGGAAGTTCTCAAATGAAATGAAGAAAAGTCAATCAATAAATGCCAGTACCAATATGACAGAGATGTTAGAATTATATGACAAAGATGTCAAAGTAGCCTTACAAAAATGCTTCAAAAGGAATTCTGAGCACAGTTGAAACAAATTAGAAAGTAGAAAGCCTCAGGAAACAAATATAATATATAAAGATGAACCAAATGAAAATTTTAAAACTTTAACACAATAACTGAGATTAAAAGTCAGTGGTTGGACATAATACCAGGATAGGGAGGGAACAGAGAAGAAAAAAAATCAGTGAAAGGAAGATAGAATAATAAAAACTACTCAAACTTAACAACAAAGTACCAAAGGAATAATGGCTGAAAAAGTCTCAAATTTGGTAAGAGACAAGAAGATGAGCAAACCTCAAAGAAGACAAAGCCCAAATAAATCTATACCAAGACACATTATAATGAAACTTCTGAAACCCAAAGACCAAGAGAAAAATCTTAAAAGCAACCAGAAAACAAACAAACAACCCCAGAGAAAAAACCTATTTGAATGACAGTGGATTTCTTATCAGAAACCATGGGGGCCATAAGTCAGTGGTACAGTGTTTTTCAAGTGCTGAAAGAAAAGAACTGTCAATCCAGAATCCTATAGTCAGTAAAAATATTCTTCAGAAATGAAGAGGAAAGCAAGATATTCTCAGATGAAGAAAAACTCAATTTTTCACCAGCAGAATTACTCTAAAAGAATGGCTAAAGGAAGTTCTCTAAACAAATGAAAAAACAGAAGAGGAAAATTTGGATCATCAGAAAAGGAAGTGATAAAAGAAGAAAACTTGGAGCATCAGAAAGAACACAGTAAGTGAAAAAGGGGGAGAGTAAACACAATAGTTTTTCCTTCTATTCTTCAGTTTTTGTTTTGTTTTGTTTTGAGATGGAGTCTTGCTCTTGTCACCCAGGCTGGAGTGCAATGGCGACGTCTCAGCTCACTGCAACCTCCGCCTCCCGAATTCAAGCAATTCTCCCTGCCTCAGCCTCCCAAGTAGCTGGGATTACAGACGCCTACCACCATGCCGGGCTAATTTTTGTATTTTTAGTAGAGACAGGGTTTCACTTTGTTGGTCAGGTTGGTCTTGAACTCCTGACCTCAAGTGATCTGCTTGCCTCGGCCTCCCAAAGTGCTGGGATTACAGGCATGAGCCACCATGCCCAGCCTATTCTTGAGTTTTTTAAAAAATATATTTAATAGTTGAAGTAAAAATGACATGTTTTATATGGTTCTAAAAGTATGCAGAGGAAATATTAAGACAATTGTATTATAAATAGTGGAGGGCAACAGGATTTAAAGGGAAACACAATTACTACATTTCATTTAAACTGGCAAAATAATGACACTAGTAGACTATAATGGGTTATGTATATATAACGTAATACCTACAGCACTACCTAAGAAGCTATACAAAGCTTTTCAAAAGTTATCCAAAATGCTGTAGATCAATCAAAATGAAATTTTAACAGAAGTATGAGTAACCCACAGGAAGGCAGAAGAAAGAAAACAGAGAAATGAAAAATAGAACGAACAGAAAGGAAAAAATAAAATCAGAGATTTAAGGCCTAACATATTAATAATTACATTAAATGTAAGTGGTAGAAGCACATCAACTTTAAAAGAGAGAGATTGGCAGAGTGGATTTTAAAACACAACCCAACTGTATACTGTCTACAAGAAACTCATTTCAAATATAACAACATAGGCAGGTTAAAAGCAAAAGAATAGAAAAATATATCATGCAAACATTAATCAAAAGAAAGCAAGGGTGGCTGTATTAATATCAGATAAAGCAGACTTCAGAGCAAAGAAAATTTCCAGAGACAGAGAGGGCGATTATATAATGATAAAAGGGTCAATCCACCAAAAAGACATAACAATCTTAAATGTGTATGCACCAAACAACACAGCTGCAAAATACATGAAGTAAAACTGATAGAACTGAAACGAGACATACACATATCCAGTTAAAATTGGAGAAAGATAACAGGCAAATCTTCAAACTAAAAAACACATCTAAATAACATAGGAGTCAAAAAAAAGAGGTCTCAAAGGAAATTAAAAAATACATTGAAATGGGTGAAAATAAAAATACAATGTGTCAAAATTTGTGGGACACAGCCAAAGTAATACTGAGAAGGAAATATATAGCACTAAATGCATATGTTAGAAAAGAGAAAAATCCAGAATCAATCTATGATCCCACTGTAAGAACTTAGTAAAAGATGAGCAAAATAAATCCAAAGTGAGAAGAAAATAATAAAGAAAATCAATGACATTGAACACACACACAAATGGAAAAATCAATTAACCAAAGATCTGGTTTTTTGAAAAGGTCAATAAAATTGACAAACCTCTAGCAAGACTGACAAAGTAAGAAATAAAGACACGAATTGTCAATATCAGGAAGGAAATAGGTGAAATTATAGACACTGCAGGCATCAAAAGGATAATAAAGGAATACTACAAACAACTCTAAATATTATAAATATGACAATCTAGATGAAATGGACCAATTCCTGGAAAAACACAAAGTACCACAACTCATAGGAAATAGATAATTTGAGTAACCCTATAACTAAAAAGAAATTGAACTTACAATTTTAAAACTCCCTAAAAAGAAATCTCTAGGCCCAATTTGTTTCACTGGAGATTTCTACCAAACACTTAATGAATTATTAAACCAATTATTGCCTGGGTGCAGTGGCTCACGCCTGTCTTCTCAACACTTTGAGAGGCTGAGGCAGGTGGATCACTTGAGCCCAGGAGTTCGTGAACGGCCTGAGCAACACGGCAAAAATGCATCTCTACAAAATATACATATATAAAATTAGCCGGGCATAGTGGCATGAGCCTGTGGTCCCAGCTCCTCAGGAGGCTGAAGCAGAAGAATCACCTGAACTGGGGAGGCAGAGGTTGCAGTGAGCTGAGGTTGCACCACTGCACTCCAACCTTGGTAACAGAGCAAGACCCTGTTTCAAAATTAAACCAGTTCTACATTATCTCTTTCAGAAAATACAAAAGGAGCAAGCACTTCCCAATTCATTTTATAATGTCAATATTACCTTAATACCAAACCAGACAAAGACAACACAGAAAAGAAAACTACAGACCAAAATCATTAGTGAAAATAGATAGAAAATTCCTTAATAAAATATTAGCAAGTAGAATTCAGCTATATTTTAAAAAATGTATACACTAAGACTAAGCGGAGTTTTTTCAGGGATGCAAGGCTAGTTCATCATTCAAAAGTCAGTCAATGACATCCACTATATTTACAGGCTAAAGAAGAAAGGTCACATAATAATATCAATAGATTCAGAAAAAGCATTTAACAAAATTCAACAGTTATTCATGATAAAAACTCCCAGAAAAACAGGATTAGAGAGAGACCACTTTACTTGATAAAGAGCATCTATATGAAAAAATAGAACAACAGAAAACAAAAAATAAAATCACAGATTTAAGGCCTACAGATTTAAGGCCTACAGCTAACATTTTACTTAATCATGAAAGACTGAAGCTTTCCCCCTAAAGTTGGGAACACGGAAAGGATGTCTGCTTTTATCACTTTTATTGAACATAGTGCTGGAAGTCCTAGCCAATGCAATAAGGTAAGAAAAGAAAGTAAATGGCATACAGTTTGGAAAGAAAGTAAATGGCATACAGTTTGGGAAGAAAGAAATAAAACTATCCCCATCTGCAGATGATATAATTGACCACATCAAAAATCCAGAAGAATCTGCCAAAAAAAAAAAAAAAAAATCTCATGGAACCAATAAGTGAGATCAACAAGGTTGCATGACATGAGATCAACATATAAAAAAAAATATTTCTACAAACTAGCAATGAACACATGGACATCTAAATTAAAAATGTAATATTATTGATAATCACTTAAAAATATGAAATAGGTGTAAATCTAACAAGACAAGTACAGGACATTTATGCTGTCAACTATGTAATGTGATGAAAATAACAAGATCTAAATAAATGGAATAGTAGTCTGTGCTTACGGATTCAACTCAGTAAAGTAACTCAGTAAAGTAGCTCAACACAGTAAAGATGTCAGTTCTCCCCAAATAGGTATAATGGTTTAATGCAATTCCCATTAAAAACTAAGCAAGATCTTTTGGTAGCTCTAGACAAGATTATTCTAGAATTTATATGGAAAGTCCAAACAAAAAGCTAAGGGGCAAAACCTGGGCTGGGATAGGGCATGAGGCAGTGCGTTGGGACATCCCTTGCATCAGGCTCAATGGTGCCTGTCACTGTGTGACTAGCTGGGATGTTTGGGGTGGGTCAGGGGCAGGCGTAGCCTGTTTACCTCATTGTCCCCTAGCACCACAGGCTGCCAGCACCATGAAGCTATGGACTTTGGAGCACGTCTTTGACCACCTGTGGGAAATTGTTACAACAGTTGAAATGCAGAAATATCCAAACCCTATGACCCTGAGTGTGGTTGGAGATGATGTGTTGGACAGACATATAGATCCCTCTGGATCCCTTCTCAGCACAGAGAGGGGGCTGCTTTCATTGTGAAGTCCCTTATTGGTGCAGCAAGAACCAAAACATATGTGCAAGAACATTCTGTAGCTGATCATGTAGAGAAAACAATGGAACTTAAATCTACTAACATTTCATTTACAAATAAGGTTTCAGTAGATGAGAGACTTATAGAAAAGCCACATCCTCGGGACTCAGAAAAAAACTATTTTGACTCAAGAAACCATAATCACTGTGAAAGGAGTCAGCCTCAGCAGTTACCTTGAAGGACTGATGGCAAGACTGAGAAGCAATGGAACGGGTAATACACAAATTAAATGCTGAGACTGAAGAACTGTTGGCCTCTGCAAGAGGAAGCATAGAGACTCTGATGGCAGCAGCAGAGTATCTGCAGAGAAATA